TTCTCATAATGGAAATTATATATCAACAATATAGAAAGTTTAGAAAAATCTCATTTTTAAAAACATCTCACAATCCCAATACCATCATAGAACTATTATCTCCCCCAACTTTTACATAGTGACGGTTATAAAATGCACATATCCTTTTGAATCTATTATTTTTGCTCTACCATTATATTGTATTTTTCTCATCTGGTTAAAGATTCCTCATAATTATTTTACAGGTTGTTTAAATCCATCAAGGGGATGAATCATTATTATTCATGCCTCTATTTAGAGACTTTTAAGATGTTTCTAATTTTACCCACTATAAGTGATGAGCAGTGTGCCTTAAGAATGAAAAACTCACTGATGCCTGGCTGCTTTTTGTAAAGCTCTATATAGCAAGGTGCTCAGAAAATGTTGGCTGCTGAAAATTTCTAATCTCCAAAGATTCTAGTACTGCCAAAGCCACTTCCTCTCAACTCTGAGAGATGAATACTGTCCTCCAAGAAGGTTTATCTTCATAGACAAAGACATTTGCCACCATGGTTTCTAGAGTTTTTCACTACCAACTCCAAGGTTTACTATTCATTGCAAAGCAACCCACAAATGGTAAGGACAGAAACTAAGATTCTGTGGGCAAGCTGATTCTCATCACCAAAATGAGACAAAATTATGGCAAAACTCCAAGGTCCCATCCCACATGGAAGGGCCAGAGAAGGAGTTCACAAGAATAAGCTCCCTGGAGCTCAGATATACTTTGGACAGGAAAATTGCTCTGAGATGAATGTCACACAATATGATGCATTGGTAAGACTAATGGGAAAGCTGGATGCTTCAGTGTAATTGCAAGGAAACAGCAATGGGATCAATGAAAACATACTGCCTCAACTTTCAAGCCCTGATATCTAGCACTCAAGCCTTAGGAGCAAAATGGAGACCAACAACAACCCTATCCAATCAGCTAGGTGCATTAACACATGCAAGTTACAACTGTATCTCAATAAAGCTGCTTTCAAAAAGATATTGTCAAATTATATTTCATATTTTGTATTGGGAATGTAAGGAAGTATAGAAAAGATATCCCAAAGTTTGCAATGTTTCTCCAACATTAGTACCACAGATTTGGGAACATCAATATTTGGTCTCAGAGAAGCAAATGAATAAAAAAAGATGACTCATTGGTGGTTGAGAGGATGGAAGGTATCTATTTTCCTACGGTTCACTAAGCAATTTGCTGAAATTCACATATTAAATAACTCATAGGTACAAGTCCCATTGTAAATTATTGTTGGTATACTAAATTATTAATCTTTTTCTTTCTAGTTTGATAAGAATTAATCACTTTCCCAAAGTTGTATCACTCCATTGAGATCTTGAGAATCATCAAAATATGTTTCTAGGAACTATCTTTCTTCTGAGACTAGAGTCTTACCTCCAACTGCTTATTGAATAAATTCCTCTAAAAGTTGTTGCATTTCATCAATTTTAATCCTATTTAAAATTCAGGTGAGTATCTGTTATCACATCATACATCTACAAACAACTCTGTCTTCTGTTTCAGTTGGTGGCATAAATGGACACTCAACTCTTCCTTCCCCCTTATATCTCTAGTTCAGGCCCCGTTCCCCAAAAAAGTCTTCCTACCTCTATTTCCCTTCCTTCCACGAGGCAACTACAAGAATAAACATTAATAAATATATCCATCACCTTATTCAACAAATAGGTACTTAATGATTTGTGTCTAGATGTCCCCCCAGAGCCTCATGTGGTCACAGGCTTTTGCAGAGGTGGCTAGATCTAGAGCATGTGATGCCGCAACTGATTCATGTTACAATGCTAGGCTCAAGGGCACTAGGATTAAGGGTGTGAGTGCTACTCCCCCCCACACACATATTCTGAATAAGAGAAAGGGGACAGAAAGACACCATTAAGCTCTCTTATTGCTTTGCTACCTTTGGGCTGCCGTGAACTGTTGCCCCTCTGCCAGCCTGCCTTGGAGCCAGCCGATTATGGATTATGAAACCTCTATAACTGTAAGCCAAATAAATCTTTCCCCCTTTAACTTCTTAGGGCTTACTCAGGTTATTTTATTTTAACCAACTAGAAGATTCATGAAAGAAGAGATTTCATCCATTATATTCACTGTTCTCCCCCAGGCATTGGGATAAAATTCATTAGATAAGTGGACGGGTGTTCCTGCAATTGCCACAGGCAGTTTCACCTGAACTCTCCAAGAATCATGGGAAACCCAGGCATCTGAAAGCTACACACTTCTACAGGACACAGTGAAAACTGTGGACTAGCTAGCTTGACAACTATCACTGTTACAAAAAGTCCAACGGGGAAATGCGGGACATTATCCTAAAAATATAACAAATATGGCTAATGGCTAATTTGAACCCATGTTCAAATCTTAGTACTGTTCCTTACTGCATTTAAGTGAACAAATCACTTGCCTTCTCTGAGCTTATGGTATCCACATCTTTCAAATGTGAGTGACTTGCCTCCCTTATAAGGATGATCGTGAAAACTGAATAGGACACCATATGTGAAAGGCCTGGCACATCGCAATAGGCATAGGCAACAGCAATTCAAGAACTTGGAGACAAGGCAGTCCAGGATTCAAGCTTCACTGAAAGGTAAAATGAAATATTGTCTAATATGACAAAGTCCATGGGGCCTAAATGTACCAAATTCCAACTTGATTGCTAAGGGAATTACCCATGCCCTTCTCTGTACTCCCAAGTATCTTACCAGACTCACATCTCAAAGCCACCACTCCAATTGTTTTATTTAGTTGGTCTATGTCTCTCCCTTTCCTTAAGTTGTGTTTCATAAGGCTCAGAAGAAAGAGCCATGAATTCCAATGGACTCTGGGCCCGCATGTTGTCTAGGAACTGACTATGGTCGAACCCTATGGCCAAGCTTGCTTACCTTGCTCTGATCTCTGTTTCTCCCAGGTGGAAGCTTTTGCAAGTTCCTGGTAGCCTCATTTTATATAGAATGAAGAAAGTAAACTGGCAAAACTACAATGGAATATAACTAAGGTGGATAGTTTTGAGGAGAATGGATAGCCAAATATATAGGAAACTGTGGCCTATAATTAAAAGTAAAAATAGCAATAGTCTTCTCTAGAGGTCAAGAAAGAGGTTACTCAAAATTGAGGAGAAATCTTTATTAGTTTCAAATGAATCTTTCTAGGCACAAAAACACACAGATAGTATATAATGGAACATAACTTCTAGCCACATAGAAAATATGTGTGGGTAACTTGCCAGGAAATTTTGAAGTTCTGACAAAAGGAGTTTTTGTTGACTCAGAACTCCAATTAAACAACAAAGGTTTTAATGTGTCTCCTTGGCATGGTGGAAGGATATGTCAAATACTTTCAGAATCTGGGAACAAGCCCTTCACCAAGTGTGTTGTGTGAACATTCTCTCCCCAGCAAAGGCCTAGCTTTGACAGCCACTCTTTCATCGCCTTACCAGAAAACCAGCAGTTTCCTTACCATGTTAGTTTTTCTATATTATTATTTATGGTTGCAAAATCTTAAGAATACAACTGAGGAGAGAATTCATTGAAGATTCCAATCTGGTAAAACTAAATATTAAATAATTGTTTTGAATAAAGTGTAGCATAGATTTAAGAGCATGAGTTTAAGACAAGCCAAGTATTTAGCTGTGTGATCAGGAACAAGATACTGAAAAGTTTATGAACCTCAAGTTTACCACCTGAACAATAGAACAGCAAGGGAAATGATCCTTAGCTTGCCATGAAAACTTAATATAATGACTTATACAAAGTATTAACCACAGGGCCTGGGCACATGGCAAAAGCCTGCTAGTTGTTTTCTGTTATCATCATCATTAATATGTGGAATGCTGATGTCTTTTTTCCACAATGCCAAACAATGTGTTCCAATGTTCTAGCATTAGAAACTAGTAACAAAATTCATTTCACTAAAAATGAGCCACTGAGTTTTGGAAACCAGGGAAGATACTGGAGCAAGAGGAGATCAGAAGATGTGCTTAGGAAACATTTCAACACAACTTCTGCCACCCTGCTGTCCCCATATTACCCACTCTATCCTAGCCAAACTACTTTTCAAGTGTCAAGGGGGCTGTTTACACCATATGCTCACAAAAAGGGTACTCTCTGGAGCTCATTCCTAACCCCGGGCAAGTGTAAGCATCTGTGTCCACTTGCAGTCACAACTGTGTACACATGCACCTAGACACACAGCCCTGAGCAGGATGTCTACATAGTCCATGGCATGAGAAAACGCCTACAAGCTACACACACTGCAGGCATGAATTTGTAAACATACATACACTCATACACACACACACACACACACACACACACACACACATACAGCTGTGCAACTAATTCTCCAAAGTCACCAGTCATTTCTCCTGTGGCCACCCCCCCCACCCCAGCCCTATCTTTGACATCCCTCATTCCAGCTGAGTTCCATTTCTTTTCTCAGATCACTGCAGCCCTGATCTAGAATGACTTAGTGAGCAAAACTGGGCCAAGAAGTCTCGCCAGATTCCTACTGGAAATAATCAGGAGACTTAAGTATGCAAACATTGTTAAAAGGGATACAGGATAGAGCAAAGAATTTGGAGTGAGAAAACTAGTTTTTAAATCTAGCTTGATCTCTTTATGTATAATCTTGAGCAAGTTCCTTCATCTTTCTGAACCTCAGTTTCCTCTTATTCAAGATGGATAACATCTTGCCTCATGGGACAAGATGATGGTCCAATTAATGTGGGTGTGAACGTATTTTATGATCCATAAAGAGCTTTACAACTGTCAGGTTTCATAGTGAAGACCAAGAACTCTGAACTATTGATATAAATTTTATTCTCTGATTCATGGTCTGAGCTTGTTTTGGTAACAGGAAAGGTAAACAACATTGCTATCCAGGGTAAGGAAGAGATGAACTCCAGAGAGAGCAGAAGTGCCATGTTTTTTAGAGAGTGACAAAGACACCACAGACAGCAGATGGCTCGAATTGATGGTGTCTTCCTTAAAGTGAAAGTGGAATAGGTGGAGGTTAAGTGTAACTAATTTAGGAACTCAGAATTATTTGCCCCTTTGGAATGCTGTGCCAACAAAGGAATCCTTTTCCCAGGAGGAGTAAGTATATAGAAATCATCTCCCTCTGCCCTTCACAACTCATGATTTCTCAGAACTGCTGCGGACAGTGCCCACAGGCTAAACAAAGGCTCAACAGCAACTGAGGCCATGAGGCCTGTGATAAGCATACTTCATGATGTTCCAAGGATCTCACTTCCTGCTGGTCATCCTGTGAAATGATGAGCCATATGTAGTAATTTCACTTCTAGCAGAGTATAGCCAAAGTGAAGGGATATCACTGAGGCAGGAGATCAGGGCCTGGCAAACCTGGCTGGGGAAGAGAGTGTGACCTGTTAATTACAATGTTCCAGGACACATGTGCAGAACAGTTCCCAAAGCTCTCTATGTGAAACCAACCAGAGAGTGCTATCTTCAGTTTCGGGAGAACATGAACAGGTTTCCCATAGGACAGCCTAGACCTGACAGCCTGAGGAGTGGGAGACACAAAAGGACAGTAACCACTGAGCTCTGGACTACAGTTCTCTTTCACAGTAGTCTGCTCTCACAGTGCAGATTATACTTCTTTTCCTACTTTTATTTGGCCCAAACTCACTCTCCAGAGCACATTTCTTTTCCTACCTTTCATAAACATAAAACCTCATTACCTTTTCTAATTGTTTTGTCCAGTTTCTTCTTCAAGACAAGAGGAACCTAGAAACCACGTCTGGAAAGAGGGTCCACTCCAGCACCCTAAAACCCAGTAACATCACTTCTGAGATTATATTACAAAAATTTTAACCTTCACCTTGGATGCTGTCTTATGCATGCTCTTTCTCTTCTCCTCCTTCTCTCTCTCTCCTCTCCTCTCCCCTTCCCTCCCTTCCCAACTCTCTCTCTCTCTCTCTCTCTCTCTCTCTCTCTCTCTTTCATTCTGAGGGCCACTGGCTGCATGATATAAGCTGCCCTATGCAGAGGCCTGTGTGGCAAGGAACTAGGGAATATTTCCAGCCAACAACCTGTGAGGAACTGAGACCCTCGTCTCAACAGTTCACAAGGAACTTAAACAGGTGAAATTTTAGGGGTTTTTTTTTCTGCAGACCAAGTAAAAATGTCTTTGGAATTTTTAGTCCTATCACAAGACTATTCTATCCAACACCACTGCATCAACACTCTGGGCTCTACCTATGCCCTGGTGCCAGATGATTGCCATCAATCTTACTTTCCTACATGTGTGCATGTACACACATGTACACACACCCACACATATACATATACATACACCATAAGTATCAAAGGGGCTGAGGGGTAGGTTTCTAGGGTCCAAGAGCACAGTGTCCAGAATAGTATGAATTTCAAGGTCACCATCTTCTTCATGTCCTGCTTGACGTGACATGGGCTCTTCTGACCAAGAGGCCAACAGGCACCTTCTCAGAGGCTGGAGCTTCACCAAGACTTCATGGAGCCAGTCATTAAGGGGTTCCATGGGAATTTTCACCCAGCCACTCATCATTCTAGAATGCAGCAATGAAGAAACTTTTATTAGTCACAGTGGACCCAAACAATACCTTTACCTGTGAATTGATCCTCTTGGTTTCCTGAAGTTCTCTGTATCTTTTACACTGACTGATCAATACTTACAAAGAGAAGAATATCACCTATGGCCCTGAGTGGTTGTGTGGTCATCACCTTCACCAAAGGCAATAATTACAGATTAGCACAACCAAGTTTCTTACTGCACGGTGCTGAGATGTATGGCCATCTGCACTGGAATGTCCTTCCAGGACAACACTCTAGCCCTCCTCTCGCTTTGCCTGTTTTTGCCTCCATTTCCTCCTGGGCAAAAGTAAGGGTTGGAGTGGCCACACTATGTCTCCCTTCTAGCACTAACCTCCTGTGTGCTCCTGAAACCTCCTAGCACAGAGAGCCCCATGAACTGGAATGCACTAAAGCTTGCTAAGATCCCACCAAATGAATTCCTTCTGGGCCCAACTTCTGGGTTTATACTAACCAAGAAAATACTGCAAGTCCTGACCTTCAGCATTCAGCTGGTTCTCATTCCTGGATGCCTTTCAAAAAAGAAAAGCTAATTTTTGCCCTCTAGGGTGGGAAATGTGAAAGGCACAAGCACACAATTCTGTGACTGGAGACCACAGCAAATTCCTCTTAGGTGTGGAGCCCACAAGCTGAGCTAACCCATATTTCCATCTGAAGTGGAAATTCTACATGCCAAGAGGTGTCCAGACAAACCCTGCTCTAGTTCTCTTGCCTATTGCTATAAACCTGTTTCTGTCCCATTGGAGTTGCAGCATGGAGCCAGAAATCTGGAAGAATTTAACACCCATTGGATTCAGACACAGGAAAACATTGTTCAAAGTAAACACTGCAATCCCTCCCTCATCATGCAGGAATGTAGAGCCAGCAGGGTCTGAGCTCAGCAGCTTCTCAGAAAAGCCCCCACCAAGCCCATGCTCTGTTCTACAGGCCTGGATGGGCTCCACAAACTGTGTGCTGGCCCACCAGGAACCAGGCCAGGGACTTAGCAAGGGGCGCCTCTCCTCCCTGGAAAAGGAACGAATGCTATCTGCAGGCTCTGGTTTAAGAACTTACTGTTTCCCCCAGTGCAAAGGCCCACTGTCAGCCCTGAACTTGGGAAAGGTGAAGGCAGACCAGCGTCCCGTGAAACAGAGAGGGGCACAGGATGCTGTGGAACTTTCCATTTCCTTTGCCTCCCAGCAGGCTGTGAAAGAGTCACTTTTCCTCCAGGAAGAAAGGCAGCTCTGTGCAGGGTAGGGATGCAGCGCAGTCCTCCTAACCAAAAGATGGGTGTGCTTGCTAGATGGGATGTGGCCACTGACATTCATTTCCCTTTGACTAAGACTTAACTAATTCCATCTCCCAAAAATTGTGCGCCAAGGTCTCCACCCTGCTTCTTCAGACTCTGGAGAGTGAAGGAAAAGGACTTGCTTTATCCAGGAGCTAAAAACTGGTTCACAGAAAGATATTTCACATTTAATCTTCTGTATCACTGGTTCCCTTTGCCTAATGTGCTGCTTAAATTCCCCTCACAAACACCAGCCCTGAACCAAATGGATGAAAGAGTTTTCACATACATCATGTAGGAGGAAAGCTGTAATAAAGGAACAGTTCAAGGAGAAGAATGCAGAGATGGCCACTGCCATGATTTCAATGCCTTCACCAAAACTCATGTTGAATTGTAATCCTCATGTGAAGTATTAAGAGTGATTAGGTGGTGAGAGCTAATTCATCCATGGATTAATGGATTAGTGGGCTAGTGGGTTATCTTGAAAGTGGGTCTGTTACAAAGACCCACTCTGCTCTGTCCCATCATATGATGTCCTCTGTCATGGTATGATGTACTAGGAAGGCCCTCACCAGATGCTGAGCAGATGCAAGCTCCATGCTCTTGGATTTCTCAGATTCCAGAATCATGAGCCAAATAAACTTCTATTCTTTATAAAAACACAGTCTTGGGTATTTTGTTTTAGTTATGGAAAACAGGCTAAGTCAGCCACTTCACCAACAAAACCTCTGAGTTGAGTCCTACTCAGTGGTGGGGCTACCTGGAAAATTAGGGGCAGCAACTACAGCAAATCAGATCTCCACGAAGTGGGTGAAGAAACAAATGATTAAATGTTCAGCATGGCAGCCCTTCTCTTTCTGACCCTCACCATAGCCTCACAGGACAGCCTTAAGCATGCATCCCTCCCCTGAGCCCTGAGACATCCACCAAAGGCTTACTTAATCCACTCATTAAAATTTATTGAGTGCCTCCTACTGACCCAAATGGCAAAAGAAATTCTGTCCCTTGCTCTAAAGGAGTGTGCATAATTCAGAGCAGAATTTCCTGATAGGTTGTCCTGCGACCAACAGCAGCAGCCACAAGAGATTATTGGAAATACATTTTCCCTGGCCCCACCCCAATCACTAAACTAGAAACTCTGGAGCAGAATCCAGCCATCAGGATTTCACAAGTAATGCAAGATATTCTGTTGTCCCCCAGAATCTGAGAACCACTGATTGAGTCTATCACCACCTTACACTTGATAATAAGGAAAATATAAAAGTTTAGTAGCTTGCTTTAGGAGGTCACAGAAATGGCATGAGTGTTCATATATTCCTAAACTCAGAGCAGCTGTGCCAAAAAGAAGTGTCATTGCAAAATTTTATTCTGGTTTCAAACATACTTTTTCCACCTCAGTTTGGTCACCCTGTAGTGGTAATTTGTAAAACTTTGTTTTGAAGAAGAGCCAAGAAGCTTCCTTATACTCTGGGGCAACAAAACAAGTGGGAATTCTTTTGACCTGAGCAAGGACCCTAGGGGGAGCCCTGTTATTCTGTTCAAAGGCAGCTCTCAGAAGGTTGTTGGCACTGCTATCTTTAGGGATTCCCTGCCCCTCCTCTTCCATCTAATTCTTGATGGGCATCAAAGAGAGTACACAAGCAGCCTTTTCAAATTGAGTTGGTTAAAGTGCCAACCAATAATGTAAAATTTTATTCATCCATTCTGCAAATGACTTCTATATTAGCCATTTTCCGAACACTAGGACAAAATACCTGACACCCACAACTTAAGAAGAGGTTTACTTGGCTTATGGTTTCAAAGGGTTCAGTCTATGGTCAGTCTATGGTTCAGACTATGGTAAGCTGGCTCCAAGACAGAATTGCATGGTGGAAGGGCATGGTGGAGAAAAGCTGCACAACCCATGGTAGCCAGGAAGCAGAGAGAGCAGGAAGAGCTAGAGAGAGGCACGCTCTCAGTGACCAACCCACTCCAACCAGGCTCCACCTCCTAACAACACATTCAGATATGAAATCATGAGTGGATTCATCCACTGATGAATACAGCAACCCCATGATCCAATCAAATCCTGGAATCCCCACCTCTGAACACTTGAGAACTTTGGGATACATTTTGGAATCAAACCATAACAACTTCCATTCTTGCAAGCTCAATCATTGACTTTGTATTTAGTGCCCATCTTGTATGACCTATTAGCAACAGTGGAACTCTAGAATTCCTCTTCTTCTAGATTTTACCACCTCACAGACTATTCTTCTTGAGTTCCTTTCTGGCCCCTGATACTCTATTCTCCCTTTAGAGTTAGAGGACCCAATTGCTCTGTCCTGGGTACCCTTTCCTTCTCCATCCTGGTATCTTCCTAAACCCCAGGCTTATATATGCAAACCCTTACCAAATATCTTCTCTTGAGTATTTCATAAACATCTCAAACCAACGCTATTCAAACTGAGCTCTTGGCACCCTTCTCCCTGGGACACACCAAAACCTGTTCTTCCACTGGTCTTCTACTTTATTAAATAACACCCGAACAAAAGTGCTGACAAAAAATTAATCTGTTTCTCCTCCCTGTCAAGAAAGAATTTATCAGCAAATCATTTCAACTCAGCTTGTAGGAATACAATAAACCTATGTTCTCCATTTTACAACTAATAATAATCATATAAAAATAATGACTCACCTCATGGGTGCCCGTGTTTCACCTGTATTTATTCATTCAGCCTTCCCAACGTACCTGAATTAAGTACTAATAACAGCCCCTCCTATAGATGGTGAAAGTGACACACAGACAAGTTCAGCAACTTGCTCAAATCCACATGTCTATCATCATGCACCATGATTTGGATATGAGTAGCTGGCACTAGGATCCACATAATCAAACACCATGTTCCCAGTACTGCTTCTGTATCCACCCACCTGGTTGCCTTCACAGGTTCCAAACTGGCCTCTGTGCTTCCACTCTTCCCCCAATATAACTTATTTTATGCACAGCAGCAGCCATAGTGACCAGTTCAAAACATACACCTGTAGGTACATCACTCCTAAACTTAAATATCCCTTCCCAGTGGCCTCTACAGAACCTTGAAATGAAATCCAAACTCCTCCTCTTGCTCTCTCAAACTCACCAAACTCCAGCTATTCCCTCCACCTGGAATAATCTTCCCCACAGATTTTAATACAGCTGTCTTCTGGTCATTTTGTTCTCTAGCACATCATCTTACTTTATTTTCATTATAGCACATATCACTATCAGAAAATATTTCACATTTGTTTGGTTAATTTTCTGCTGCCCTCTTCGAATTTTAGTTCCATGTGAGGAAGGAACTTGTCTGTCTTTTCCCTCAGAAATATCCCATGACCTAAGATTATATGAGCATCTGCTTTGTACCACATAGAGGAATAGAGAGGCAAATATAGGAGAAACTTTTCCTTTAAGGACATCACTATCTGTAGTTTCACATAGAATGGGGGGGTGGCTTATGAAAAGAGGCATCATGAGGACATAGAGGAATTGTTTCTCACCCAGCCTACGAAACCCAGAAAGCTTTCTGGGGTAGAAGACTTGCTTTCATTTTATTTCAACAGTTATTCTGGCCAGTTAAAGACAGATGAGACCAGTGGTCCACTTTTTTAATGTAAACACAACCTAGAGAACCTCATAGGACACAAATCCTAAGTCCTACCCCAGAGTCTCTGATACAGTAATTCTGAGGGATGGGGTAGGATCTGCATTTCTGAAAAGTTCCCAGGTAAAAACGACTGTCACTGGTCTAAGGAACATACTTTTGAAAACCCCTAAAGTGGACCATTTCCCCTGCCCCAGACCACCATGAATATAGCTGAGTGCAATGCTGTGTGTCACTTGCTGTGGTAGATATATGGGCTGGTGAAATGAGGGGAGACACCTAGGTCACCTTAATGAGAAGAAAGAGCCAAACAGGACTTTTTAGAGGAACTGGCACCTGAGTTTGGTTTTGAATAAGGAGTGGGCATTACTGAGACAAAGAAAAATAAGAAGAACTTGAGGAAAAGGGCAAAGTAGTATATGATCTTAGAGATTAAAATATATTTCAATACAGCCGAAGTATAAAGTGTAAAATAAAGACTAGCAGAAAGTGAGACTGAAACAAACGCTGAATCCAAAATAAGAAGCAGGAGATCAGGTTGAATAAGATCAAGGTGAGCACAACATACTAAGGTAACTTAAAGGGATTCAACACTTAATATTCACTTTATGTAAGTAAGAGGAGAGTTTGTAGTAAGAAATGAGATTGTGAACACAATGGAAGTCAAACCATGGAGGAGCTTACCTTGAGGATTTCTGCTACCTGTTTCCTCTGCCTAAAACATTCATGCTCAAGAATTCTGTCTCTATCTTGAGGCATTTTGGTGGTTGTAAATGATTTTGAGTAAAGAATGGAATTATCAGCTTAGCCTCTTAGAAAGATTCCTGTGGCAGAGACCCATGGCTGTCCACCAAGAATTCATACTTCCCTTCCTGAGTAGGAATTTGTTACTGGGAAGAAACTGCCCAGCCAAAAACTCTCTTTCCCAATATTCCTTCTTCTTCTTGCTTTGTATCTAGATAGAGCCTTGTATCTGAGTTTCTTATTTGCATACCTGGCTCATAAAATCTCCAGCCTTCACTCTGCTTCTTTTTCCATTCATAGATAAAAAGCAAAAGATTCCAAGGCCCCAAGAGATTCCAGAGCCACAAGATGGAAGAAATGTGAATTCCTGAATCACTGCATGTTGATTGACCACACGACATCCAACTGAGAGAAAAAAATTTCTATTATGTTAAGTATTTTAGATATGTTGGTGGGGGCATTTTTTACACCATTTAGGAATACCTTAATGCAATCTCTATAGTGTCACCATAATAATAAATTGGAGAATGGTAAGGCTGGAGGAAAGGAATTTTTAAGGTTGGGCAATTTTTGCCAACTGGGAAATAAATTATGAGAGCCTAAATCAAGGAAAGGGCAGTGAAAATGAAAAGGAGAGACAGTGTGGTTGTGATTAATTACTGGGAAGAAGGCAAGCCAAGCATCCAAGATAAGTCCAGTTCTATAACTCAGATAATGGAATAAGGAACAGAGAAGAAAAAACGGATTCTAGGATAAGGTGCTTAGTTGCATCTTGAATATTATAGAAAATCTATGTAGCAGTTCTTGGTGAGCAGTTGTCCATATAAATCTGGAGTCCAAGACATAGTCATGGTTATAGATATATAGATATACAGATTTGGTAAAAGATGAAACAAAAATTTGTCATACCTCTCATTTGTGTAGAATAAGATAAAAACAGGAATGAGAAATAAATCATGAACATTTGTAAGCCAGAGAGGTACAGTGAAGCCTGAGGGGATGATAAGTGGAACCCACCAGAGAGGTGGAAAAAAAACAAGTGTCATCTTAGAAAGCCAGAAGTGCTGTCTCAGAAAATGCCAGCCAAGGAGATAGATGTCAAGGGCCACAGATACATCAAGAAACTCAAGGAGGCTGGGGAATTAGCTCAGTGGTTCTGCCGCCTGCCTCACAAGTGCAAGGACCGGAGTTCAATCCCCGGTACCAAAAAGAAAAAAGAAACTCAAGGAAAAAAGGGGAATAAAAAGGATTAAGACATGATGTATGTGCCAATTCCCCATGATGAATATATTTACTATGTCTCGCAAACATATACTAATAAGGCGGGGGAGAGAAATTCAAGGACAAAATGTTTCCATTGAAGTCAACATTAGAAGGTCATTTATGAAGGTGATGCCATAAAACAAAGGAAAGTAATAGAATTAATTAAAAAGGAGGAAGATAGGACAGTGAATATGAAAGAAAACCATTAATGAGGATTCTTGTGTCTCAAAATGTTATCTTCCTCACTTCATTTAGTCTTCACTAAATTCAGTACTCTTCTCCAGAAAATTATAAAACTGAAATCAATTTAAGATCTAAATAGAGAGGGATACACCACATTCATTCTAAAATTGTGCCATAGATTCAGTCCAATCCCAATCAAAATTCCAACAGGATTTTTTTGTAGAGATTGAAAAACTGATTTGAAAATTTATATAGACATAGAAAGGACTAAGAATAGAAAAAATCTTGAAGATGAATAAATTTGAAGAACCTCATAATGGATTTTAAAAATATAAACCTTATATAAATGATATATATGCTTATATGAAACATATAAACCACAGTAATTAAAATGGGATAGTATTGTCATAACAATATTAAATAAATAAATATCACACAATAAAAAGTCCAAAAACGTCTCCCTCCTTTGCAGCACATCAGAGGAGTGAGGAAAGGATAGTAGTCTTAATAAATTACATAAGATCACTTGAATACTAATACAAAAAAATAACTACGTTAACTGCTTCTCCCTTACTATTTGCAAAAATTAATTCTGGGTGGATAATAGTTCTAAAAGTTTTAAGTAAAACAACAAAGCTTCTAGAAGATAACATAAGAAAATATCTTCATGGCCATGGATAGACAAAGATGTCTTAAAATTAAGAATTTCTGTCCATAAAAGATATTATGAAGAGAACAAAAACAAGGCTCAGAATGGGAGATTTGTGTCGTCCACATAACCAAAATAATGCTGAATATAAAATACTTTTTAAAAACAAAAAATATTACAAATTAGAAAAAAGACCAAACAAAAAAAAAGGTCAAGAGATTTAAATACAAACATCACAAAAGATGATACCCAAACAATAAAATAGACAAATGAAAAGATTATCAGACTCTAAGAAATTCGCA